TAGAGCTGACTCAAGTATTACTTTAGGGTTACTTGCGAACTCAAGTATTTCCTATCAAAAACCCTAAGAAATCAAGATCATTATCACGAATACAAACCAGGAAACTAACAACTATTTCTTTAACAACGCATTACTAACTAAACAAGTTGTACTTGTAGCCAAAATAAATAAATAAAAATCACAAAGTGGACCAGTCATGCTTAGAATATGGCCGTTGTTGATGACGAGGATGATGATGATGTGGAAGCAAAAGTATTTTCAAGAAGAGAGTATGAAGTACAATGCTTCTTTCAGATGTGAACTAGAAATTGTCAAGCAAAGAAAAATGTTAGGCATATTAGCATTAGAGTTGAGATATCCACATACTACAGAACCTGCATGAAATGAACTTCAGTATAAGAATTCTTGCAAGCGTTTAAGTTTTATGCAGGGTATGAGCAACTTAAAAACAAAACAGAAATATAAATAAAGAAAGTGGCATACTGAGATGCAACGGTAGCAATAGCAGCTCCAGTTATGCCAAGGCCAAAAGAATAGGCAAGCAATGGAAGAAAAATTATTGATGAAAGATTACCAAATCCTGCAAGTAGATCAATAGTTAGACAAAAAAATGCCCTTGGTTGTGAAACAGCAAAAGCTAGTGAAGGAAAATTATGTCAACAAAAATTCCTAGAGAAGCAATGTTGCTTCAAGTTTTCACATGCATGACACCTAACAAACAGGTGGATGGTCTTTGAACAGAAATATCAGTGCCCTTTTTTAAGGGTTCAACTTGGAAATTCCTTGAGACTATACCACCCAATGAACTTATAAATGTAATTCAGATGCTCATGACAGTTATAGTGTGTTCATGAATAATCAAGAATAGTAATCAGATAAATTTCAATTTAATTTCGAGTTATTCAGGCCAGTCCAACCTGACCTAAATTACAATTTACTCTAGAAACCTTACCCAAATATTAACTGAGTAAACCTGAACCTAAATTTTTTTTGTCGGTTCATGCTGGGTTGTTCTTTCAAATTATTTATTCACACCCTTATCCAAGTGAACAATTATAAAACTCCATCTCACTCTCTTATGTGATACTTTCTCTCTGTCTAATTTTAGAGTAACTGTAATGTAATATTTTCTCTCTTATTCAAACCCCCACAATATTGATTCTCTATTGGTTCTCTAGAGAAAGCAAGTTTATAACTTTCACAAGTAGAAGCAAAGGAGCCAAAGAACGAAAATCCTTCGTTGCTATAAGACCACAAAAGCATAAGTTATTGATTGTTACGATCACCAGAAAACAAGGCTACAAAGAAAAAGCGACGGGTATTCCTCATCACTTTCTTAAAGTCCAAATCCGCAAGTTTGATGTATGTCATAGATTAATAATTTCAACCTATGTTTTGATACTAACATACCAAACGTTTCAACAAAATAAACGAAAATAACAAGAAGAATGGCTCTTCCACATAACAAACCATTTTACTAAACTGTGATCAAATTCAAAAGCAATGATAACATAATATCAAGCATTTAAAATAAATACAAAATCTCATTAGTGATCAAACATTAACAACTTGAGGGGAAAGGCTACTTAAATCGTAGATTGGATAAAATGACATAGAAGAGAGGATGTGTAGGCAATAGCAACTTCAATACGTAGTTAAACTTACCTACACAAACCAAAGGAGTTTTCGTATCCTTGAATCCACGGAAGACTCCTTGAATAGCCAGGGAAACAACAACTGCAGGAGCCCCCAAGGCTCTTAGAGAAAGAAACTGCTGAGCTGGGCTACGCATAGGAGAAATCTGTCCAGAATGACTTTTATCAACCATCCATCTTGAAGATCGAAGGCCATAAATTAAGTATGAATTAAGTATTACAAATGTTTTTTTCACGTTAAAAATTGCCTCTGGGAAGACATTCCACATACAGAAGATGCTCCAAAACCAATAAAAATATTGAAAAATATTATGACGTTGAAAGAAGGTCCTAATGAGCTCTGATTAAAAAAAAAATTACCAGAAGCAAACACAGAAGGAAAAAATCAGATATTGAATCTCGAACACAAATAATCTCGAGAAATAAAGAGAGTGAAAGTCCTGTAATCGTTCCAACTTACCCGAGATATGCCCATCATATTTAGGAAAGCTCCAGCACCCATGAACAAAGCTAAAGCTTCAACCGCACCAATTATAGAAGCTAGCAGCAAGGCCGTTGAGACAGAGGGAAGTACCAACTTTTCTACAATGTTCTGAGAAGGTTTTTTATTTGCCAAATAACCTTTTTGAGAAGCTTTATCTAAAAAAGCATTGGTCCATAATCAGCCGCATTCAAATCATAGTTCAATTCCTGAAGCATGTTAGTCATTAGTTGCCTGATATAAATAGCATACCTGCATCTTTTGAAAGTTCTTCAGCAACAAATGAAGTTGTAACACTAAGCAGGGGAACGTTGAAGAGCTTTGATATGATGTTAAAGATCGATACTGATACCCCAGCTGCGGCCAACTCCACAGGACCTTCAAACAAAAGCAAGGAGGGTCAATGATTCAATAAAACTAAAACACATTACAAAGTTATATTGGAGAGCATTCCTTCAGGAAAATGTGAGTGATTTTTAAAAAAAATGATGTGTGTGTGTGTATATATATATATATAATTTATTTATATGGGGTACTATAGAAGAGCTAAGAGTAAAATATCTATCATCATTATTAGCTTTATTATTTAGCTTTAGCTTTATGAATCGTCATTCTCGATTTATTCCAGTTGAATGCTACATGAAGTAGCAAACTAATTTTGTACAAATCTTTTCATAACTTCTATTCAAGTTGGCATTGGTCTACCCCTTCTTCTATAATTTCTAAGACCTAATTTGAATTTTTATCTTGTTTAAAATGCTTGCTAGGACATTAAAAAAAAATGCTTGCAAGGACATAAAGCCGAGCAGCAGATTATTTTAAGAGCAGATGTTAAAATATATATCTTAAAAGCTCAAATGCAATTAACAACGGTCTTGAAAAAAAATAATGATACAAGAAAAGCACAGAAAATGGAGTTTATTTCATGCTCATCTTGATATAATTTCATTAAAATTATTATTGTAATTTTTTTCAAGAAATAGTTGGGTTAGTTGTTAAAAGTTAGATAATAGTAAGGAGCTAATTGGTAGCTTGAAGTAGTTCAATGATATAAAGCTAATTGTATTATGACTGAAGTCAGTTATAATCTCTCCTCATTCATGTGACCAGCCCCCCACCTCTTCATCATCAATGCAAGCAGTAATTAAAATTCTAATTCAAATTCAAATTGGGAATTACAAGATTATTACAAGCATATTATCAAAATGGAGGTTTCATAAGCATTCAAGAAGAACTGCTAAATTCAAGATGATGCATGTTACAATTCAAGCATTCAGTTAGGAGGCTTTAAGAATTCAAAATATAAAGGTTACAAATCATTTAAAGTTTAATTCATGTGATTGACTGTTATAAAATTCAGATTGAAATTTATAAGTTATACAAATCCTCATTCAAGATTGAAATGAATGTATTTCAATTTCATTTTGCATTTTAAATTTCAAAGATAATCTCCTGTATTAAAAGTAGTTGATGAATTTAATGGGAAAAAAAACGTATTGCTTAGGCCATAAATTTGTGTCATCCTTGCTTTCGAGCTAAATTAATGAGAGATTATGAGAGAAATTTCAAATTGAGGGACTGTTTTGGAATTGGGAAGATTTTTTGCATGTTTGAGTAGCATTGTTTTCCAGGGTTGAGGGGTATCGAATATTTTGCTGACTTTTGTTTTCCAGGAGAAAGAGGGACTCTAGTGGACAGCTAGGGTTTGGGAGAGCCTGATCTTTCTCTCAAATCAAAGATCCATTATATCTTGCTTGTTTTCTTCTTTCTACCATTAATTAAAATGTTCTCTGTGAGTTTCCACCTAAACTTGTCTTTTTTACTGTTTGGGGTTTGCTGAAGTTCAGATTCAGCTAAGAGAACTGAATTTCTATTGGAGTATTTCATATCAAATTGGTATCAGAACACCATCAATTGGTAATACCTATGGCCAAGAGGAAAATGGAAGTATTGGAAGCAGAGATGGAACAATTAAAATCAGATTTTGTGGAGAATATTTTTGAATTTAAAAATCAGTTTCCAGCTGTCCATGAAAAGATGGATGAGAAGTTTGTTGTCGTGAAAGAAATTGTTGAAGAAGTTGCTTGAGGCTCAACCCAAGACAACATCATCGAAGGCGAGGGGAGCCACCGACGATTAAGTTGTGGAAACCCGAATTCGATTATGAGAGGGGAAAATCATGAGGTGGAGATTCTGGAGGGAGAATATAGGATGCCTCCTCTAGAACCTATTTCTAGGGAGGAGACAGGTAGTGGGTATGAGCGAAGGGGTGTTGATTTTGCAAGAAGATTGGCTAATTATGAGCAAATGGGTGCAAATTTTGAAAGAAGAAGAAGAAATTTTTAAAAAGGGTTTGGGTACGAGCACAGAAGAGGGGATAGGGACAGTTGGGGGAGATCGCCCTCTCGAGGAATGGGTGGATATGGAGAAATCAGGGGGAATGGAGGTGATCCGAGGGTAACGAAACTGAAGATACTTATCTTTGAAGGAGAGGATGCACATGGATGGATCTACAATGTGGAGAGGTATTTCACCGTCAATGATTGACGGAGGAGAGGCTGACAGCAACTGGCTTGAAGGGGAAGGCTTTGGCTTGGTACCTCTGTTTAAAATTGCGCAATGAGAGGCGCGCCTCTGCCCAATCTTGTTCAAAAACGCCCTGAGGCGAACGCAATTCATGGAGTTGTTGAGGCGTACGCCTCACAGTAGCTGAGGCGCGCCTCTGTTGTGTAATTGCGCAATTTAGAGAGAGGCGTACGCCTCAGCCAAGAGGCCCCACCCACTTAAAATGAACATTTCATTTCCCCCACACCCGTTCGGCCCTCCTCATTCCCGAAACTTACGCCTCGCCTCACGGACGAAAACCGCCTCGAGGCGTAGTTACGCAATTTTAAACCTTGCTTGGTACTAGTGGAGAGACATGACATTACCCATACGGAGCTGGAGGGAGTTCAAGGACTACTTGTTGAACACTTCCGAACCAACAAAAGAGAGGGCTTTTATGAGCAATTTTTCACCCTGACACCGGAAGGCTCAATGATAGAGTATCATGAAAGGTTTGAGTACCTTGCTAACCGACTGGATCGGCTTTCTAAGATTGTGCTAGAGGGAGACTTCATGAAAGAGCTCAGACTAGAGATCCAGGCGGCGGATAGAGTCATGAGGCCTTGTGACTTAAGAGAGGCTATGGAGCTAGCGCAATTAGTGGGGGACCAGAAGTACCTGGAGAGGGGTGCTAGAGGCAGCAGGTTAAGAGACTCGTACAGAATGACCACAACTTCCTTAGCTCCCAAGGGGCCAGCACCGAGAAGCCTTCGTGAGGCTTCAAAGGAGAAGCCTGTAGGAGGGGGATTCGGTGAAAATTTCAAGATGCTCATTGAGAAGGAACTGCAAGAGAAGAGGGCGAAGGGATTGTGTTTCAAATGTAATAAGAGGTACACACCAGGACACAGGTATAAGGATTGAACTCTTCAGGTTCTCACCAACTGTCATGACGTGGAAGCTGAGGGAGCTGGGAGCTGGGAGCGAGGCAGTGGTAGATAAGGAAGAAGAGCTGTATCTTGACATAGCAGAGGTTTCCTTAAATTCAATGATGGGATTCACTCTCAATCACACCTTAAAAATGAAAAGAGAAATATCCAAATAGAGATGTGGTGGCGTTGATAGATAATGGGGCTACCAATAATTTCACTCCAACCAGGTTGTTGACCAATTGGGGATGAAGTTAGTGGACACATTGAGTTATGGGGTAATGATGGGCATTGGGAAGATGGAGACATATAAAGGAGTGATTCAAACCATACAGGAGATTCAGGTGAGGGAGGACTTCCTTCCATTGGAGTTGGGAAGCATTGATGTTATCATTGGGATGAAGTGGTTACAAACCTTGGGGGATACCAAGGTTATTTGGGGAGCATTGACAATGGAGCCAGTAGTGGAGGGAAGGAGAATGATGATCAGAGGTGATGCAGGGTTATCCAAAGCCATGGTGTCACTCAAAACCATTATGAGGACCTTACAGGAGGTGGGAGGTAGATTTATTGTGGAGTTGCAGAGCTTGGAGGGGGGTCACATTGGAGAAAGAGAAAGACATTCCTCCTTCACTGCAGCTGCTTAACATCAGTTTAGTGAGATTTTTCAGCCACCTCAAGGATTGCCACCATCAAGGGAGCAAGAGCATGCCATCACCTTGAGAGAGAGTGTGTCACCAATTATTATCAGGCCATACTGCTAGCCTGAGATTCAGAAGGATGAATTGAAAAGTTGATCCGAGATATGTTGGAGAGAGAGATCATCCGATCAAATGTGAGTCTTTTTTCTAGCCCAGTATTACTGGTCATGAAGAAGGATGGGAACTGGAGATTCTACGTGGACTATTAAGCCCTAAATAAGGAGATTGTGCTAGACAAGTTTCCCATTCCAGTACTAGATGAGTTGTGTGGAGCAATGTTGTTCTCAAAGATGGATCTAAATGAGAGAAGAAGATATTAGTGTCCACCAGGTCGGTGGAGGAGCATTTGGAGCACTTGAGGGTGGTCCTAGAAGTATTACATGAACATCAATAAAGGGTTAATCTGAAGAACTGTAGAGTACTTGGGGCATGTGGTATCTCAGGAGGGAGTGGCTGCAGATTAGGCCAAGATTGAGGCAATGCAGAAATAGCCTCAACCTAGGAATCTAAGAGAGTTAAGGGGCTTCCTAGGATTTATTGAATACTACAAGAGATTTGTGAGGGGATATAGCACCATAGCCTGGCCATTAACAGAGCAGCTGAAGAAAGATAGCTTCTTGTAGGGAGAGGCAGCTACCTAGACCTTTGAGAGATTTAAGAAGGTCATGACCATAGTATTAGTCTTGTCCCTACCGATTTTCAGATAGATTTTTGTGGTAGAGACCGATGCATCAGAGTATGGATTAAGGGCAATGCTCATGCAAAATCACAGGCCCATCACTTACTTCACCAGGTTTTGACAACCAGAGCTAGGTTGAAGTCAGTCTATGAGAGGGAGTTGATGTTAATTATGTTAGCTATTCATAAGTGACGACCTTACTTGTTGAGCCGACATTTCATTATCAGCACGAATCAAAGGAGCTTAAAGTACATGTTAGAGTAGAGGATGGTGACCGAGGATCATCATAGGTGGTTGTCAAAGTTGTTAGGCTATGACTTTGAGATTCATTATAGGCCCGAAATGGAGAACAAGGTTGCTAGTGTCTTATCCAGATGAATGGGGGAGCTACAAAAGCTAATTATATCGATATCATTGATGCTAGATTGGGGGGCTATTAAAGAGAAGAGTGTGCAGGATGAGGAGCTAGGACGGATTAGAGATATCTACTTAAGGATGGGAATAGTCACCCTGGTTATTCTCAAGAGGGGGAGAGACTACTATAATAGGGGACGTTTGTAATGCCTCGGACCTCCATCTATATCCCATAGCTGCTACAGGAGTTTCATGGGAGCACAGTGAGGGGTCATTTTGGTGTTCAAAATACATACAGGAGATTGGCAGCTGAGTTGTATTAGAAGGGGATGTCAAGGATGTGGAAGATATGGTGGGTAGATGTGAGGTATACTAGCGAAACAAGCACATGGTCATGGTTCCTAGGGGGTTACATCAACCCCTAGCTCTACCAAACAGGGTGTGGGAGGAGGTGGTCACCATGAACTTTATCAATATGTTACCCTGATCTGAGGGGTTTATAGTGATATTGGTGGTGGTTGACAGATTGAGCAAGTATGCTCATTTTATTCACCTACGACCCTTGCACGGTAGTGACAGTAGCGGAAGCATTCATCAGAGAGGTGGTATGGGACCGGAGTCTATAGTGTTCGATAGAGATAAGGTGTTCCTCAATCATTTTTGGAGGGAGTTGTTCAGATTGCAGGGAACAGTGTTGCAGAGGAGCATCACCTATCACCCCAAACAAACGAGCAGACACAAATGGTGAACATAAGCTTGGAGACATACCTATGATGTTTTGCTTCTGAAACACCTAGGTCGTGGGCTATGTAGCTGGAAAGTGCAGAATATTAGTACAACACTTCTTATCATTCACCCCCAAATGATCTCTTTTAAAGTTTTGTATGGAAGAGAACCATCTCACTTGGTACACTTTGGGCAAAGGAGCACACCAGTTACCCCAGTAGAGTAGTATTTTGAGGAAAGGGATGGGGTGATAAATGAGTTAAAAATGCACTTATTAAGGGCTAAGCAAATTCTAAAGAAGCAGGCGGATGAGCGTAGAAAGGACATCTAGTTTGAGGTAGGAGACAGGGTATACTTGAATCTATGCCCCTACAGACAAAGGACGGTAGCTCACAGGAGGAATGAAATGTTGGCCCCAACCCCCAAGATACTTCGGCCCTTATGAGATAGTAGAGAGGATTGGAGTAGTGGCTTATTGATTAAGGTTACCCTCGCCCGCTACTATACACCCAGTGTTCCACGTATCACAATTGAGGAAAGATTTTAGGAACCATGCGGCTAGTTCAGAATTACCTGGGACACTGACAGAATATCTGGAGGTAATGCTAGAACTATTGGAGCTGAAAGGGGTGCGACAGGGAAAGCGTGAATTCAAAGAAGTGTTGATAAAGTGGAAGAACCTACCTGACCATGACACCACATGAAAGCCATATGAGAGAGTGAAGCGCTAGTTTCCGTCTTTTCACCTTGAAGACAAGGTGGATTTTTGGGAGGGGAGTATTGAGAGAGGTCCTTGGACCAGTCCAGCCTGAACCGATCTTGGTCTACTAACGGCGGAATATAGGTTCTTCCCCAGTCAATGCTGTCCCCTTTGGGGGTGGGTCCAGCAACCAAATTAATGAGGAATTAATAAGAGATTAGGAGGGTAATTTTAAATTGAGGGATTGTTTTGGAACCTGGGAGAATTTTTTGTATGTTTGGGTAGGATTGTTTGCTAGGGTTGAGGGGTATCAAATATTTTGTTGAGTTTTGTTTTCCTAAGGAGAAAGAGAGACTCTAGTGGGAGGCTAGGGTTTGGGAGAGTCGGATCTTCCTCTTAAATTGAAGAACCATTTTATCTTGCTTGTTTTCTTCTTCCTATCATTAATTAAAATGTTCTTTGTGAGTTTCCACCTAAAACTTGACTTTTTTTACTATTTGGGGTTTGCTGAAATTCAAATTCAACTAAGAGAATTAACTTTCTATTGGAGTATTTCCTATCAAAACCACCAAGGCTTGGTTTCCGAACCAACCAATGTGAGCTTTGTGATGCTCATCATATCATCTTAACCTATCTCCAATCTCATCCTAAACCTCTTAATCCTCTCAAAATCGAGCCAATTCTCTCTAAGCATATAAGAAGCCCTTGACATGTACTACTCACTTCCATTTGCTTAATCCTCAATAAAATACCATCCGCAACCACCGCCAACATCAACATCAAATATACTTGACTGATATTATAGAATTTAAACATTTATTTAAGAATAAGGTGCATTTTCAAATAAAGTTTCCACAAAGACAAACGATGAATCAAAGCATGATATAATATGACAAAAAAAATACCTAATCTACCAATAAAGGCCGTCTCCAGAAGTTGTGCAACTGGATCAAGAGCTTGTCCAACAATTGCAGGTAAGGCAAGCTTAGTGAGCTCATTTCTAGCACTTGTGTGATGCAGTCCATCAGTCAGAACTCCGACAAGCTTTCTGCATCAAGGGAAGCTTATGTCACGAAAAGCAAATTACATCATGAAATAGTTCAACCAAGTTCATTAGAAAGAAATATTTACAAACAAGTTTCAGTTATTATCTCTTAATGCATTGTCCTCCTTTCGAAAAAGAAGTGGCATTGACATCACTAGCTAGCCAATGAAAAAAGAGTTTTTAACAAACATTTAGAATATAACACATAAAGCAAATCATAATTTATCATTTCTTGATAATTTTAATCACAAAATCACAAATCGTAATTAATTGTAAGATTTATGCAGATAGTTATTTACTGCGTAAGGAAACAGTTAAAAACCGCAATTAACACTCATATACGTAAGCACTTTTGGTATCACATCCTGTATGAATCAAAATGGCTTTCCACAATTACAAAATGTGAAAATGACGCATAGGTTACCATAGAGAGTCAGTACCCAAGGACCACAAGTAGCCAAAGGGTACCCCAGAGAGTCAGTACCCAAGGAGCCATTGATGGAATGGATGGAACGGCTACCAAGGAGTTCAAATCCAGAGGAAGTGAGGAGGCACAACACTGGACGCCAATAGGTAAAAATTGATAAATGATGAGCCAAATTAAAATCACAAGGGCACCAAACTTGTCGCCAAGGTCGGGAATAGCATATGCACAACGCCCTACAGAAACGGCACTAGTACCTAGGCAAACCACAAGAGAGCAACCTACAAGTCAAAGCAACAGCAAGCGGGGGATAATGGACGCAAAACTGGGGAGACAAAGCTTGTTGGAATCTGATGAGAGTGTAATCGAGAGGACCAATTGAGTAAAGAGCACACTAACCAAGTTTGATCACAACAAATGAGCGGAAGTAAGGCATATGCTACCACGCACAAGTTCACCGAGGACAAAATGAATATGGGGGAGCGCCAGCAAAGGGCTGTCTGCAAGCGATGAAAAAATTGCGAGGATGCCTAGGGTGATAGATGTATAAGCTCTTCCAATAGAATGAACTATGTGAAACTCACTTAGGGGAGTGAGATGCATAAGCCTTCCAATAAAATAAACTAAGTGAAACTCACTCGAGGTCAGTTTAGGACAGCTTTCTCATAGCTTTGCTTTTCAGACTATTGTCAAACATCCTTCGCTTCTACTTTTTTGCCGCTTTTCAAAACTTTTTGTAGTGAGAAGTTTCTTTAGATAATAGAATTCACTTGAGTGTTGCGGCTACAAGAAAGCTATCTAGCTTTTTCAAAAGAAATTACAATGCCTATAGTAGCTTTAAAAAAAATTACTTTTCCAACAATAACTTTATAATCAACTTTCTAAGAAGTTGCAGCTACTCCAAAAGAACCATCAATCTAGAGGAAGAGACAATTTGAAACATGCGGGATGTGAAAGAATTATTTCTTGTTTCCCTCTTCTCAAAAAGTAGATTAACAATTTTGTGCACACATCAAATAAAAGTTAACCTAATTTGTGGCTAACTTAAGGTTGTTTGACCAACTTTTAAGTTTTAAATTGATTGTTGGGTGTACTATGGAAGTTCTAGCTTTATACCATCACCAAGTAAAGCCTAAAGAATCCCTGTTAATTATTTTAATGTTTATTTTGGTTGTCAATAAGTTTGAGATATTACCCAGTTAAAAACAGTCGTCAGCTAATAAGCACAAAAGAACAATCATTCTTGACTTGTCAGGCAAACTTGCAGAAACGCAAAGTAGAAGAAGAGGGGAAAAAAACTTACCGCCTATCCTTCTGACTGCTCACTGAAGGATATCCATTCGTCAGAGGTGTACTATCATCTAAATTGTATTCTGTACCATGCTGGTTACAAAGAACAGGAATAAAATACTTTCTACATTCAGTTAGAGATGACCGTGACAACTTTGCATGATCAGTTGCTAAAAAGGAGTTGTTAACTCTCTTGTTGAAGTAAACCCTATGCTTATGATGTTTCATAAGGTTTCGAGATCCATGTGAACATCTAGAATATAATTTTGTGACCATGTCAGCTCTTTCATTGCAACTCCCTGTTCTCAGCTCCGAAAAGCAGCCTTGTTGTATAGTTCTCATTATGAACAACCCTATTTCTTGTCTGAGATCAAGGACAATAGTCACAATAGATCAATCATGTACCTACATTTACAAGAAAGAGGTTCAAAACAAAATAAAATATTATTTTTCCAGTTCCTTGATGGTTAACCTGGAAAGAAACTTTATTTTTCTACACAAGGAATGAAATAAGATTTTGCTGAAAACAGGGAATTAAGGTCTCCTGTTGCATAAAATATAAATGAATGGAGAAGAGGGATTCATAAAGTCGTCACAAGTAATTGATATAGGCTAATCATGACAACAAAATATTTGTTTTTCTATTTTCAAAAGGCTCTATCATGTATCAATAGAAATATAGACATATACTAATGAGAATATATGACCATGAATTTGAGTTTAGAGTTTCCGAGTGCCTCCTATTTTTCTATGAATTCTCTTCTTCTTTCTTCTTTCTTCTTTCTTTTTTCTTCTTTCTTCTTTCTCCTAAAAAATAATAAGTTAATTAATATTAGAAATTTTGAGCACCTTCCAAAATGCTCTTTCCTTCTCCCAGCATAAATTGCATATTAACTGTAAATAGGAATTAGTTCTTTAGTTTAGTGATGCCATTAAATAATATATGCTACCCACAGTGAACCAAAATAATATACCAAGCTATCTGAACAGGGAACATAGCACACAACATTCAACATATCACATTGAATTAAACACACGGTATTAACAAATAATACCAAGTTTCACAGATAACATAACCATCTAAATAACACAAAACCAAACAGCCTTCGCACAAAAAGTATCAGCATGCTTAAATCAATTCCAGATTTCTAGCAGAATTCCGTAACGCAAACACTAGAAATCCCAACTTTGTACTGACGCTCAGCATATGCTCAAATTTAGTTTTACAGTATTGCCCAGGATAAAAAGCCAAACAAATCGATTTTCTACTACTTACAGAAATTGGTAGATAGATAGAAAAATACACTTCCAAGTAAATATTTTTAATTCTTTGATAAATCCCATTTTTAAATCAAGAATTTGTTAAACCCCACCATTCCCCAGATGGCTTTAAAGTATTTCTTCTATCATAAATTTCACATCTTAAAAGAAACAATCGAACAGTATTTACCAAGATTTAATAGTTTGAATCCTCTCAATATTTATTAAATCTAAAATTAAGGGATTTACAACTGGGGTTAAATCCTACTTGCAGCCAAACAGTCCCTGAGCCTGCCATATGATTGCCAAAAAGGATTCTCAAAATTCCTTGAAGCGAAGAAAACATTACCCAGCCAGAAGAACGTGCTTTTGGGCTCGACTATAGCAACTAACGAATATCACAAAGATAATCCAGAAAATAAAATAGAAGACAGAGAGAGCAAGAAAAACCAGACAACCTAAATTAATGAAAAACCAGCGAGGACGGAAGAATCAAAGCAAGCCGCGAAGAAACGGAGACTAGTTTACCTTAAAAAATCAAAAATATCGTGAAGCAGTCGGAAAATGAGAAGAAGATGATAAACATTGCATGGCTCGCCCTAGTGTCACTCCAGCCTTCTCTTTCCCGCCCGAGTTGTGCACAGGAGAGCGACGCGTGGAAAGACCGCACGGCATAATATATGCTCTTTCCGCGAAGGCTAGCACGCTTCCGGCCACCGTCCAAGGTGGCTAGGGTCGCCGGTGGCGGGAATCGGTTCGAGTTAAGCCCAAATGGGGAGAATCTCGAGTCGGTTCGATTCTAAGAAAAAATGCGACAGAAAATCCGATATAATTTATACAAATAAACATTCCATTTATTTTGAAATTTGCATTATATATATATATTTATCTTATATTGATTTTTAGATAAATCAGATAGTATAATTTATATTAAGATATTCTAATACAATTTCTTCCCAAAAAATTTTATTTCTCTTTATGAAATATTTAGAGGAATGCGCCACATCACCCAGTACCGAGCAAAAAAATAAAGTGACCCGTTCTAATTGATCTCCGGACACCATCCGGGGTCCGCACTGAATAATTTATCCACCAAAATGACCTAGAAAAGAAACTCCAAAGAGAATATTACCCGTACATGTTTTTGTCATTGATGAATGAAGAAATCAACCAGCACAATCCCTCGTGAGCGAAAAAACTCTAACAAAACTTGGACGAATATATGACGATCGATGACAATAAATAAAGCAAGCTGATTTTTTTTTTTTTTTTTTGGGATCATATACAATAAAAATTTGATCAATAATTGAATATTCATCAAATCCTAGTCAACTATATGTATTTGTTATTCAAAAAAATGTCAATCATAATTTGAATAAAATATTGTTAGAAAAAATTATAAAATGGTTCAATTCAACATTTGAATAAATTTAGTTTAATGTTCGAACAAGAAAAATAAAACCAAGAAGATCATAACATGCACAACACATTAAAAGAAAGCAATACATCGTTACACGTTCATTCATCTTGTTACGAAATTTTAAGAATATTTCATCCATGCAAAAAAAAAAAAATTATAAAGGTGATGGGCACTTTGCCTTACAAATAACTCTATTTTGGCCATTAAATTTACGTTAGTTATGGCTATGTTGGACTGCATCATCTTCTCCTTTGAAGGCACTTTATTTTTCTTTAAACAGATACTCATAGGCTTCAGTAATAGAGATAATATGACAAATATTTTTATTTTACCTATAACATCCAAAATATTTTTTGAGATAACATGTATATAATATAGTGTAATTAATCATTATATTTAGTAAAATTATTTACAAAAGTTAAAAGAATGTAATAAATTAAAATATATTGTTTAAAATTTAATTAAAAATAATAAATATTTTTTTTATAAAGTTGGCTGTTTTTTCCAACTTGGATCGGTTCACCGGTTGAATCATCGATTTCCTCCGATTCGATGCATAGCCGATTTTGTAAGTTTGATCGGACTGGCCACCTGATTGATTCACGATTAAACCAGTTTGATTTGTCTAATTTTCAAAATAGTGGTTACAACCCGACCCGATATGACTTAATATATACCACACATGTCATTTGCTCAATCATGACAAGAATCAGAACTTGACTCCAAGATCCAGTTGGAGAAGTGTTGAGAAAAACTAGACTTTAAATTTATATAATACAGAGTCACTATTGAATACAATATAAAACAGAAGATCAAAACTTAAAATGATTTTTCTTTATGTCATCCAAAAATAAATGTACAATTTGAAGTCTATCTACAACAACACTTGGCAACATAAAGTATAATAAAAATAAAAGCTAAGATTGTAAAAATTAAACTAGCCAAAAATGTATAGCTACAACGCATAGTAGAGCCCCATATCAACACTACTCAACTTGCTTATTATCCTTTTGTTGACCTAAAAGTAGAAGCAAAAATAAGAATGAACTATCACAGTTCAATAGACTATCGTAGCTTAAATTAGGAACCATTAACTCAAACGAAAAGAGCTTTAATTATCGAATTAATAAACTGAAGTACTATACGAAAAGCTGAAACCAAAATAGTTGTTGATATTGAATTTTGAATAAGCATTTAAATAACTATTAAATTGAAGTCAATAGAAATATAACCAAATATTTTATAGTAATTATCAAAATGGATCTCATGCCCCAATTTTTTATATATAACAATCAATAGAATCTCTTATGGCGCGCCAATAGAATCTCTTCTCGCCGCCAATAGAATTCTTCTCTCCGCTAACATAATTCCTTCTCAAATATTGTATTCATAGATACTGAAAATAAGGTGTATTCTACACTACTAAAACAATCGTAGTATTGTTGCATGAGTCTATAAAAATGATATAATTGTTGTCAAATAATTCCCCGCCCAGTGTTCTATAGTTTGTCAAAAATAAATTTTCATAATTTCATTATATTACCATAAATTATGTATAACAATACTATGAAGCTTTAACTTAACTCAAACTCTATTTTTAGATATTTAAAAAAAAATTGAATTAATAAAAAAGATCTATTTTTCAAAATCACTCGGTGAAAAATCTCAAATAAATATTCAAAACAATTAGAACTGTCATATCGATAAAATATCAAAAGTTACACGAATAAAAGTTATTGGATCTGATAAAACTATGTTTTTTTTGTAGAACTAAATAATAAATTTGATCCAAAAAAATCTAAAAACATTGAATTACTGAAAACTAAGATAGGCAAAAGGTAATCTATCTCGATCCGAGTAATTTTCCTAACTTGACTGATTGGCAAAAACAGCTCTACGATATCCAAATTATAATTTCTCTCTTATTTATTCTCTCTCCTCTATACTCTTCGATGAAATCACATTTATGTGTTATAGGGAATGGATAAAGATTTTTATAATAAAAATATTCAGGACATAAAAGTTATTTATGCTAATTGTCTAATTTTTAATATAAAATTGGTATAAATCCTGTTATATCTTCAAATCTAGGAATTCAAACAATATAAAAAAATATTCATAAATTAGTTAAGCATGTGTAGAAGACTTTGATGAAATTAATTTGCAAAACAAAAATCTAACTATCTCAACAGACCCACTTATATCGACATGTGTTTATTTTTTAAGGAAATGTAATTGAATAAGAAGCTTCTTGTTTTCATATATAAAATGAACATAAAATTAGTAAAAATTATTATATTTAGAACACATCTATTGAACTATTATTTGATTATTGTATGTCAAAATATATCTTTTAAAATTTAAGGGATTATTATAATAGTAAACTTAATAAGTTGAAACAAATTATATTTATTTATTTTTTTTATAAACATTAAATTTGTATAATAAACATTTTTCAAAGAAATACCATGAACTTAAATTGGTCCTTGATTTAGCCTTATTGAGCTTGGTTTAAAACTTATGTTAGGCCTGCTTTCACAACAATTTCAATACCAACAATATGAAAAAAAATAGATCTAGGCAGGCATTTACCAGCTGATTTCTCAATTCAAATAAAAAAACCTTCTAACAAATTCCCTGCTACAATACACAAGAACTACCCTTACATACAAGAAACTAAAAAAGATATAACTACCCATCAACTAATTTCGTTCCACATCAAACCAAAAAGAAATAAAACTATATGAAGAATCATAAGCTGAGTCCAAGCCACCCATCCAACTCCAACCCTCAAAGCCGAGCCATGCGACGATCCCGGTGTCGGCCCCGAGCCTTTGGTTCCTTAAATGAAAAATGACAATCAAGACTAACATTCTTCAACACAAACCGAAAATATACAGTAAAATTTACCATTGCATGTACATTGGTTGGTGAGCACAGTGAGAATGTTGCTGGCTGTGTAGCCAGCATAGGAGCAGATAGAAGTCTCACAAGCTGAAACAGATTTGTTGCCAAGTGAGAGGCTTCCACATTTAGCTACAGGGCATGAGTTCTTGCTTATTCCCTGGGTGGGATGACAGTCCAACCTAGTAAGATGGTTCACAAATGGTGAAATGTTTTTGAAATCTGAGTTACAGTGACGATATGAATAAAGGGAAGTGTACTAACTGCCATGTGGTGGAGCTGCAGTTGCAAAGCACGCAGTTTTTTGCAGTGAGGGCATAGCTATGGTTAGGGATGCGAAGGTTGCGATCGATGGTTGAGTTGCTTATTGACGAGGAGCAGGCTGCAGAAGTTTCACACTTTCATTATTAATAGTTAGTGAAGTGAAAGATAAAATGTTAAATAAAATTTTCCTTATAACAGTGGCAAATATTTGATGACCGTTGCTAAATGCTAATTTAATGAGGAATTAGCAGACTATAATTTTGCAGCTCTCAGATTTCCAAATGAATAAGTTTGATTGTTGGTATAATATACATATCTATGAAACAACTCTCTATCAGGCAGTTTGTTTCTATAAAGTTTAGTAGTTGCTTCATACTATTATTTAGAAGTGTGATTCTCACTGATTCCTTAGCAATTTGTATATTTCTCTTATAACACCCCACCCCCAACACACAAAAAAAAGAAAAAAAAATCAATGAATGAGAGTAGTGCACTTGTTACAATGCAAAATCTTCCAAAAAGACCAACTTCATGGAGCTGCTACGATCAGTTAGTTTTGTATGAAATTTGATTATGTCGATCAATTTAGTTGTACTACTATCTCAAAACTTAATTTCATCAGTCGAACTCGCCAGGGGTTGCAGGGGGTCCTCTTCCTGCTTGCGTTCGAGTGTATATGAGGGTTGTGACATTGTATAGTTTGTTTGGAGACAAACAAAGAGTGGAGCGTTGTGGCGCTCCAAACCATGATGTTGCGGCGCTGTTAGGGAGCACTGCAGCGCACCAGACCCCAAAGTTGTGGCACTGCCAGGTAGATTGGAGATAGAGAGTCGAGCGTCGTGGCACTGTGAGGCAGGCTGGGCAATTTTCTTTCTTGTTTTCATGAAGGGTTGCATCCCTTGGTAGTTTAACTAATTTTTTTTCTTTTTGTTTGCTTGTAAGAAAGAATAGGAAAGGCCTTAATTAAATGGAGTTAATGAGGGTTGGGAAGGGAAAAAACATAATCTACAAGAATGGGAAAAGCTTTAATTAATTCAACTAGGATTGGGAAGGAAAAAAGGTGGAGGGGATACCAAGAGGCAAAGGGGAAGGTTGGCAGCCAAGGGAAATTAGCAAGGAGTTTGGTCGGTTGTTCGGAAGAGGGAGGGAGGCTCGGTTGGTTGTGTAGAGGGGAAGGGAAGAAGTCGGCCGGTTGTTTGAAGGGTGGGAAGGCTCAGTAGCTTTGGGGAAGGGCTGGAATGTTTGGTTGGCTATTTGGAAGGGTTGGAGTGCTCGGTGGGCTGTTTGGAAGGAGGATGGGGTGAGAGAAGAGATAGGAAAAAACCAAGAACCTTGCCACGTTGATGGTTGTTGGGTGTTGCTTTGCCCTACTCCTGGGGACTTCACTCTTCTCTCAAGAAGACTCAAACACACGCGTAACTCAGAAAAACTAAAGTTTCATTCATAATAATCACCATCTCCGTACAATAACCTAGGAGCTCAATATATATATGCCTCAAAACATGAAGACTCAAAGCTACAACGCACAAATAACCCAACATAAGGATAAAATGGGAAAGACTCTAAACATAATATGAAATAAGAAAATGAAATGCATCAAATAAATTATAAATAAAGGCTTCAAATCATAGCCGTCGATCTAAGAATTCCTGCTGATGTCCTCATCACATTGTTGACAACTTAGAAGCATCAACTGGTGATTGATTAGGTGACCAAGTCGGTGTATAAAAAAAATTTAATGAGCAAGCGGTAATAATTAAGAGGAAGAAGGAGAGCAGCTGTAAAAAATTCACCGCGCCACCGATAGTTCCTGTGGTGGAGACACTTGGGTCTACAAAAAAAGGTGCACATGGAGGTGCCCTACCACAGGTGAGCCACAAGCAAGCAACGATGAGAAAGAGGAAGCTGGTGGCAACTAGGTGCAACTTTTCTTGCAGCAAGCGAGGCAATGAAGAGACTGGTAACTCTAGTGGATTTGTCAATATCAACAAACTCTATGGAGATTGATTCGAGGTTACTTTGAATGAAGATGATGGAGAAACTCCTGTAGATTAAAGGAAAGGATGACAACGAGGAAAAGAATAAGGCAGCTAAATCAATGGCCAATGAGAGTATTATTCCGGCTTTGCAAAGTATTTTATAGATAAAAGTGGTAAAAAAGACTATGACCATAAAGATGTCCGATAAAGATAGGCAACATGAAGGTGTTAAGTGGCATTGGGAGGTAGGAAGTGGGCCAAGATCCTAGAGTTGGGTCAGCCACATGGGCAGGCTAGAAGGAGATACTCGAGGAATCATGCTCCCAAGTCCAAAAGAGAGTCACGGTGGAGGATCTTGACTCACATAATGAGGCATGTGATACTTCAAAGCTAGAGCGTGTAGTAGACAAAATCAGGAACCAAAAGGAGGAGGAGGAGGAGAAGGAAGTTAGTGGTGAGGACATCAATAGAGAATTTCTCTGCAAGCTCATGTAGAAGGAAAGAATGAGGAGTTGAGGAAAGCCATAGTAGCAATAATAGCTTGTATCAAGGAGCTTGGCTAGGAGACAAATACGCTTTGGGATTTTCAAATTGTGGCAATGACTTCCCTCGAGGCCATGCTTAATAAGAAATTTTTAGAGGCTATTGAGTCAGCATATTCGGGTAAAGAGAAGCATGTAGTAACAAGTGGAGCAGAAAGGAATGAGCAACTATGCCCAGGATGAGGGTAGGGAGCGGGGCAATTGAGGCACGATGGTGCAACAAAGAAAGTATCACAAGATTCACGAATGATTTTTCTGTCAACCTGCAAATGATGGTGAACAATCATTGAAGGAGGACATTAATGTAATCTGCAAGTGGTTGTATGTCATCTTCTCTACAAGAAAGATGTCGAGTCCTAGAAGTATCAAGGGAAAAATTCTATGCTCAACAAAAATGGTCCCAAGCGGACTAAATAAAGCTGCTACCCCAAACTTCTGGTAACGCAAAAGGGTGGAAAGTAAAGGGTTTCAGCTTGTTCATACCTAGACAAATGATGTTACTGAGCACAAAAAAGTTGTTTAGCTAGATGAAAGTCGGACAACTTGATAATTCTTCTTCAAGAGGCCAGACAAGATAGATCAAAATATTTATTTTGTAAATAAAAATGTATCTTTGTTTATTAATCTTATATCTCTCACTTCAACTTTTAGATGTGTGTTTAGATGATTAACTAAAGAATTCAAGTAAATTTGCATGCTTGTATATTGTCTAAGAACAATATGAATGGAAATCTTATCTAATCTATACTCCCTAGAAAACAGCAAAGGTGTGAGGGCCACCGACGCGCAAATTTATTTACAAGCCCTTATACAACAGATTGGTTTGCATGGATTCATAGTGCAAAGCAAGTCTCATTAGGATTTATCCTTATGAAATCTAGCCATTATGCTTCACTTAGAAGTCAAGGTAGACAATGATCATGACTATAAGGATTTGTACCATAATTGTCTCACTCAGGACCAGCGCTATAGTCGCCTCCTACAAGACTTGAACCACTATCATCTCTCTCAAACTTTCATTATCATTATCTCCTACTAGACTTGCGTCGCAACTAGCACCTAGTCAAGGGCGGATCCTCATTGGATTGAGGGGGGGGGGGGCAAATGCCCACCCTCAAAAAAAAAAAAAATTTAATTTTAGAGGGTATATTTTAAAATATTTTGAGTATTTTGTCCCCTCATAAAAAAAATTTTTGCCCTAATTTTATCAATCCTAAATGTCTTTGTCCATCCCCACCAAAAAAAAAATTTTGTCCACCCTGAAAAAAGAAGCTGGATCCACCCTGCACCTAGTGCACTGCAGACCCTATTATTACATACTTCTAAAACATTGTATCTAGATAAGTGAATACCTAATTTGGTGTTGTCGGTGTTGTCATTTTGGATAGTGAAAAAGTGGATAGTGAAAAAGAGCATCATGTACAAGACATCTCTCTAATTACTTGGAGGTCTACCACCTTTAACACTTAATTTCTACAAATGGTTAAAGCTTTGCAACTGGCCAGGCCCCGTAAAACCATAGTAAGTCAAATATAACGACATACAAACGGCTGTATTCCTACAAAACTGCCCAAGATACCAATTGTGGACCCTTTAGCAACTCAATTCTGTAAGAACTTTTCGTTAAAAAATATTTATCTTTAGTAAAAGAACACTACAACACAAATGATTTGAAGAGTCTACTTAAACTAGCACATCCGATGCACCTACGTGACTTTCATATATTGTTAACTTATTTTTGAAATCAAATTTATTTCCTGCCGGCTAAAGTCAATTTTCATGCATTGACTTTCCTTAAACCCTTATCAATCCCGACAATTTTCATTAAGAGAATTCGACCTAGTCAAAAGCTCAAAAAAAAGGCAACTATGGTTGCTGTGATTTAATATGGCTAACAGAGGAAAGCCATAGTAGCAATAATAGCTAGTATCAAGGAGCTTGGCTAGGAGACAAATATGCTTTGGGATTTTCAAATTGTGGCAATGACTCCCCTCGAGGCCATGCTTAATAAGAAATTTTTAGAGGCTATTGAGTCAGCATATTCGGGTAAAGAGAAACATGTAGTAACAAGCGGAGCAGAAAGGAGTGAGCAACTATGCCCAGGATGAGGGCAGGGAGCGGCGGCAATTGAGTCACGATGGTGCAACACAGGAAGTATCAGAAGATTCACAAATGATTTTTCTGCCATCCTGCAAATGATGGTGAACAATCATTGAAGGAGGACATTAATGTAATCTACAAGTGGTTGTATGTCATCTTCTCTACGAGAAAGATGTCGAGTCCTAGAAGTATCAAGGGCAAGTTTCTATGCTCAACAAAAATGGGTCCCAAGTGGACTAAATAAAGCTGCTACCCCAAACTTCTGGTCATGCAAAAGGGTGGAAAGTAAAGGGTTTCAGTTTCTTCATGCATAGACAGATGATGGTACTGAGCACTAAAAAAATTGTTTAGCTAGATGAAAGTCGGACAACTTGATAATTCTTCTTCAAGAAGCCAGACAAGATAGATAAAAATATTTCTTTTGTAAATAAAAATATATCTTTGTTTATTAATCTTATATCTCTCACTTCAACTTTTAGATGTGTGTTTAGATGATTAACTAAGGAATTCAAGTAAATTTGCATGCTTGTATATTGTCTAAGAACAATATGAATGGAAATCTTATCTAATCTATACTCCCTAGAAAACAACAAAGGTGTGAGGGCCACCGAGGCACCGACGCACAAATTTATTTACATGCCCTTTTATAACAGATTGGTTTGCATGGAATCATAGTGCAAAGCAAGTCTCATTAGGATTTATCCTTATGAAATCTAGCCATTATGCTTCACTTAGAAGTCGAGGTTGCCAACGATCATGACTATAAGGATTTGTACTATAATTGGCTCACTCAGGACCAGCACTATAGCCGCCTCCTACTAGACTTGAACCACTATATCATCTATTTCAAACTTACATTATCATTATCTCCTACTAGACTTGCGTCACAACTAGCACCTATTCATGGGCAGATCCCCATTGGATAGACGGGAGGCAAATGCCCACCCTCAAAATTTTTTTTTTAAATTTTAGAGGGTATATTTTAAAATATTTTGAGTATTTTGGATATTTTGCCCCCTCTTAAAAAATTTTTTTGCCCTAATTTTATCAATCCTAAAAGTCTTTGTCCATCCCCCACCAAAAAAAAATTTTTTTTCCCACCCTAAAAAAAAGAAGCTGGATCCGCCCCGGCACCTAGTGCACTGCAAGCCCTATTATTACATACTTCTACAACATTGTATCTAGATAAGTAAATACCTAATTTGGTGTTGTCCTTTTGGATAGTGAAAAAGAACATCATGTACAAGACATCTCTCTAATTTCTACAAATGGTTAAGGCTTTGCAACTGGCCAGGCCCCGTAGGCCATAGTAAGCCAAATATAACGACATGCAAACGGCTGTATTCCTACATAACTGCCCAAGATACCAATTGTGGACCTTTTAGCAACTCAACTATGTAAGAACTTTTGGTTAAAAAATATTTATCTATTAAGTAAAAAACAAAAAAATTACATCACAAATGATTTGAAGAGTCTACTTAAACTAGCACATCCCATGAACCTATAGTGACTTTCATATATTAACACCTTTTTAACTTATTTTTGGAATCAAATTTATTTCCTGCCGGCTAAAGTCGATTTTCATGCATTGACTTTCCTTAAACTCTCATCAATCCCGACAATTTCATTAAAAGAAATCGACCTAGTCAAAAACTCCACACAAAAAATTTTAACTTGGAAGTTTTCCTTTTTTGTTCTTTTTTAGGGATTAAGAAAAAGGGAGAGAGCGAAAGAAGGCAAATGGACCTCTGATTGACACACAAATAACTTTTCCGGCCTCAAGAGTATCTAGACCCTTGATCCCATTAAACCACCGTTTTTTCTACAATAATTTGAATTCAAACTAGCCAACAATTCAAAAAACTCCATAAACTTCTACAGTTTAGCTCATTTTGGGGATCAAGAAAGAGTTAGTAGGGGAAAGAAAAGGCGAATGAACCTCTAAGTGGAACATCGAGAACCTGTCCGGCCAGAAGGTCCTTCGGATCCTTGATCCCATTAATCCGAAGAAGCACATCCTGCGAAACACCAAAATCTTCCGCAATCGACGCCACCGTGCTCCCTGCCGCCACAAAATGCGCGTAATGCACCACCGACTCCCCGTCAACAGGATCACAGCTGCAAGGCATTGGTATCAGAAGCCGCTCTCCGACCTCAATCAGATTCGGATTCGAAATATTGTTGGCCTTAGCGATATCCTGGTACGTCACGAACCCTCCGAAATTGTTGCGAGCAATGGAATCCAATCCATCGCCGGCCTTCACAACGTAAATCGGCCGGCCGGAGGATGAGCCGGAGCCGGCCAAGCAGGAACAAGGGATAGGGACGCGGACGACGGATCCGGCAGGAATGGAAGTGGAAGAGCGGGTGGAAGGAAGGAGGTCATTCGCAGAGAATAGGGTTCGGATGGATTTGATAGTAAAGAGGGATTTGAGGGCGGCGTAGGTTGTTCGGTTGATGGGGATGTAGCCGATCAGGGATTGACAGGTGGGGGTTTTAGGGGTGGTGCAGACGAAGGGGGCTGCCGTGGAGGGAAGGGGCGAGTGAAGCAAGCTAACCAGGACGAGAGAAAGGAGGGAGGGAAGGAAGGGAGATGGGAATTTCATCTTCTTCACAGGCGAGCTCTGTGAGTTAATTTAACTACACAAAGCTCTGTCGCCTGGCCAGCATGCGCAGAGTGGCCGCCATTTTTATACTTGTTTCGCTTCCGCGCATGCGAGCGGGGAGGACTAAATGGACTTCAGTGAAAAATTTCATTTATGTCCTTTCATATAATTTATTTGATAATGACCCATCTGAAATAAATAAATAAATGTTTTTGTAATTACATGAAATGGAATCATATCATTGTCAATATAACCTTCAACTTTTTTAGTTAATATTGAATTTTATATTTAATGTAGATAACATTTAATGCATCCATTTATTCGTCAATCTAAATATAAGAGATGTATTAGATAAGCTTAAAAATTTTGATAAAAAATATAATTTAAAGGAAGGGACAATATTTAAATATTATTATGTCCTTCAATATTTTATGGTTGTATTATTGTTAAGTTGACATAATTAATTGATCATTTAATTATCATTAATAAGTCCTTTAATTTGATTTATTTGAATAAATTAAGAGGTTGTTTGATTTATTAAAAAAAGAATGTAAATTATTTTAAAATTTAGGTAGGTTATTTGATGAAAATGAATATAGAGTAAAATTTTAGTGAATTCATTTTTCACTTTCTTATTTTATTTTGGGATTTTTACATACATAACACTTGAAACTATTGAAAATACATATCTAACACTCAAACTCTTGTATTTACTGATATATCACCTAAAATTCTTTCTTTCCTTCAATCCTACCACTCCGTTTTTGCCGTCAGAAATCTAACCTCGCGACTCAACGTGCTCCTCCAGAGGTTTCCCCATTGGCCGAAGGAACTCCACCGTTTGCTTTGCAGTCCTCTCCGTAAAGTAACCCTCACTCAATAATACTTAACCAAATGCGAAATCCCCAAAACTTCAACCAAACGCCCCAATAAAATTGATGGGCAATCACCAAATTTTTGCAGAATCATACCAAGAACTCATTAGTGTGGATCAATTGATCAAACGTCTAGGAAAGAAGGCAGCTCCTCCGAATCACATCTGGGCGTGGATCAAACAGATAAAAGATGCAAACCAGTGAGTGAAAATAATGGGTTGTAAAAGAATCAGAAAAGGTGCACGCATGTGAGATGATGCATGCCATGATGTCATGGTATATCTCGTCGAGGAGCTTCTGGACTTGGTGGATTAAAGAGGAGTTTTCAGAGATGAATTCGCGAAGGCGGTATAGCTCTTTCTGGCGGTCCTCTATGGCCTCCTCCACCCGCCGCGTCATTGCAATACTGACTGAACAACGAACTTGGCCGACGATCAAACCGGCGTGAGCGAACGGAAGACGGAGCGGGGCGGGATTTTTGACGGGCTTAAACGGAGTGGTAGGATTGAGAAAAATAGGAGGTTTTAAGTGGTATATTCGTAAATACAATAATTTGAGTGTTAAATATGTATTTTTAGTAGTTTTAAGTGTTATGTATGTAAAAATCATTATATTAATTAAATTATCCAACAAGTGTCTACGTTTTACTTTTCCCCCTATTTCGTTCTGTAGAATTTTTCAGTAGTTCTTCTTCGTCAACGTTCGACTTTGCTCCTTCCACGACATTACCTTCTTGTTCTGTTGGATCGGAAGTTACGACATTTTTTTCTGAAGCAACAACGGGAGCTCGCTTGCTGTGAAGGTAACTTCCTCCCTGTCGCGCGCTTCTTCGGCCAAATCCCGTAAATCCGCCGAATCAAAGGATTTCCTAAATCCGGGATTTACCACGAAAAGAGGGAATTTTCTGTCAACCGCGGCTTTGATTTACCGTGAGATTTGATTTTGCATTTTAGGCCGTTTGGCTGGATTTCGCCCAAATCCGGCCTAAATCCGCATACCAAACAGCCCCTAATTTTCCCTCCGTTGTGGGCGTTTCAGATGACGGCGATTTCGGGCTATTCTTCTTCTTAGCCGGCCTTCACGTGTAGTTTCTCGCCGGATTTAAGGTGATGATTCATGGAATAGAAAAATCCCGCAACTTTTTTTTTTTTTTGCTTCTTGTTCTCTTTATTTCCTTCCTTTTGTGAGTTTGAAGTATGTTTAATGGGGTTTTTTGCTCTTTTGCTGTTTTGGTTTTTTTTTTCTGTTTGTTTCTTAAAGTTGCGATAATCTCCCCGTGTTTCGTGCTTGATTAGTTTGTTGTTTTTTAAATTTATTTTGCTTTATATTTTCTTCTTGCATATATTGGATAACATGGTTCGGGTTAGAGATCGGTGAAAGAACCTTTGGTTGAATCTGATTCTTATTAGTTTTTTTCTCTTTGTTCCCTCGTTGGAATGCTCTTGTATATTCTATGGTTAAGTAATTTTTTTATTTTCTTTATTCAAAGTTATTATTTGTCTATTTGAAATGGTATCTGTATGCTTATTTAGCTTCGACTGTTTAAAATAAGTCTATGCTATATCTATCTGGTTATAAATTGTATTATGATTATTCAGTTTGTGGAGATTGTGCTGTATAATGTTTTTGTGAAGTTGTTCTTTAAGTGACTATAGTAGATTGATATGTGGTGAACATGTTTTATGTTCTGTGAGGCATATGGGGTTATGTGCTAAATATTTTATAGAGTTTCTCCTTTGATGCACCAGATTGTTGGATATCTACTATATTCTTACTTCATGCCAGAACTCTTCTTCCAGATTTGCCTCTTACATTTAATGACAGAGAATTATCTCTAATTTGCAATAGAATGTGACAATTATGTCTCTCAAAATTTTTTTGATGTTATAGTGATGTTTTTGCACGGACCTTGACCACAAAATTAATGTAAATAAGCTTGCTGCAAGGTTCTTATGTATTATTCAATTGGTTTTTGATTGGGATTATTTTTTTTTCGAAAGGTGATATCACAAATTTGTGATGCGAGGAACTTTTTTTTTTAAATGCATGCTCCTTTAAAAATTGTTTTGAAGTTGAGGTTGTTCTTTTCTGTTCTTTTATTTGAAATGTTTTTATAGAATGTCAACACCTGCAAGCGTAGAAGCAGATAACAGTGAGCCAGTAAATATTAAAGTTGAAAGACTTGATGAGCAACTTCACTCTGATCTTGTTAGTGAACCTATGAATGAGAATGAAATAATTAATGATAATAATAACATTCATTATGAGGTTGAAAGATGGACTAATGAAAATTAAGTAATGATGATGAATAAGAAGATGGGTACAACAAGCTTGAAATGCTATAGAAATAAAGAAAAGGAAGAAGACATCGAAGGCATAATATAGACTGATAGTTTGTAAGTGCTAAAAATAAAGGTATAGTTAAATAAATACTACAAATTAATGCCTAATAATCATGTTCTCTTGAATTTCATGACAATATTTGGATTCTTGTTAACGTTGTCATATCCAAATTAAAATTAAAATTTAAAAGTAAAAAATTGAGCTCAATATTAGAGCCAAGCTTGAGCTTCTTAAACGAGCTTGTTATATGAGCTCGAGCAGTCGAGCGGAGTTCAAGCTCACCAAAATTTAAATCAGTCGAGTTTGGGCTCAGTTAATGAACTTGAGTCAAGCTTGAGCTTGAGCTCAACGATGGTTAAACGAGCTCAGCATGATTATATAAATACTCGACTTGACTTGACTTGACTTGTTTACGCTCTTAGAAGGTGTAGAAGTGTTATCTTTAAAATGGGCTTTTTAAAAAACTAGATTTGTTATTATTATTATGGGAAAAGGACAAAAATGGTCCCTCAACTCTTTATGAATAATTATTTTGGTATCTCAAGTCTTTAAAGAAGAATCAAAAGGAACCAAAATTATCCTTTAATATGGTTGGAGACCATTTTAGGCCTTCATAAATAGTCAAGAGACTATTTTGATCCTTTTCTCTTATCATTATTTAGTCATTATCATTAGCTTTATCTCTACTGTTTGTGGTTAACTTTATGAATTAGTTGATCTTAGATGACACTGCTAAGTCATAAAAGATCAATCTACTTCTTTAAGCATATCATACAATCATGGTATTGGAATTTATCAGCAGCATGAAAGAGATAGCCTTTGAAAATCATAATGCAATTTTTATTGCCTTTGCTGGTGACATTGCTCTTGAAAATGTTCTTTTCAAGCACCATGTTGCTATTTGTAGATCTTATTGTGGGAAGACCATGTTAGGCCAAGTGTGTTTGATGTAGTGGAAGTACTTTTGTCGGAAGAACAACAAAGACATGTTGAAGTGAAAGCCTTGTGGACTATCCTGTTTGTTAAAAAATCTTTAGATGTCAACACATCATCATAACAAAAAAGAGCTATGAGCAGCAAAAATAATTTTTTCTCATCCCCCTCTACTAAAAAGCCCAAAAATTTACAATTGTCATTATATATCAGTAGGTGTAAAAGTGGTACTACTAAAATGGGATTCCAAATTATCAGATTTGTTAGTATCAGATAATTATCATCTATGATGCACTGACACTTCTACTCAAAGAGTCGTGCAGTGTCCGACACGATACGCGTCCGACACTCCTCGGACACGCCAAAAATATGTCCAATTGAAAAAATATTAAATACAAATTGGACACACGTATCTGACATGTGTATCCTAAATATTTTATGAATTTTTTAAAATATAATTTATTGTATTTAAATTTTTACTTATTTAAAATATAAAAACTAAGTTTCTTAATTCTATCTCCACAACATCAAATCAATTGTTCGCACTTGATGCCAAATTCATAAATATTCTCATTTTCATTTTTCTTTGGCGGGTTACAACTTTGATTTCACAACAATACCTGATATCACCTCAACATCGGCATTTGACGTCGTTACAACTTCAACATTTCAAAATGATCTCCATATCAAAGTCTAACACTTTCTTTATGTTGATGCTCGATTCTAGCAATTTTTACACACACAACTTGACATCTCATCTTTGTCCAATGCCTTCTTAACATCGACGACCAATGCTCTCTCAGCATCGACGATAAATGGCCTCTTAATATTGACGACCAATATTTAATGCATAACATTAATGCCTGAGTCTCGACAGCATTGTCATCTACTCTCTCGATGATTGATAATGCATAACTCGGCCTAGTGAGCTCGTATAGACGAGGCGGGAACGGATGTCAGACTTTTAGAATATAAATTTTTTTTTAAAAAAACATGCCTTGAAGAATCTAAAATACTTCAAAAGGAAACTAAAAGCGCCTCTAAACAATTTTCAAATTATACTAAATATTTCATATCATATCATAACATAAAAAGTTTCAAATATACAACGGTGACTATAATATCTCTTTCCTGCCAAACCACCTAAAGTCATTTAAACTACAACTAAAGAAATAGAGGAACCTATCATCCGATCCTCTACGACTGTAAGTATACAAAGGGTGGTCAGCCATTTCCAGCAGCGGGTTATCCTGAAAAATATCCCAAAACGCTAGTGAGCTCGTATAGACGAGGCGGAAATGGATGTTAGACTTTCAGAACATAAATTTTTTCTTAAAACATGTTTTGAAGAATCTAAAATACTTCAAAAGGAAATTAAAAGCGCCTCTAAACAATTTTCAAATTATACTAAACATTTTATATCATAGCATATAAAGTTTCAAATACGCAACGGTGACTATAATATCTCTTTCCTGCCAAACCACCTAAAGTCATTTAAACTACAACTAAAGATACATAAGAGGAATTTGTCATCCAATCCTCTACGACTGTAAGTGTACAAAGGCTGGTCAGCCATTCCTAGCAGTGGGTTATCCTGAAAAATATCCTAAAACTAGGGAGTGAGCTAACGCTCAATAAATAATAGTTACATCTAAAGTTCATGTGCAATGTAGAGGAAAAATAATATGCAAGTTGGTAACATATGCTTCTATGTCTCAATGTCATATGCTTAGTGTATATCAAATGACATGTGCTATGTTTAACATGATCTATTTTATCACATGCTTAACATGAGGCCTATTATATCATATGCTTATCATTTCTTTGTTCGTATCATATACACCCGTACCGTAGTACCGAAATTGTATTGATTAGGTACACATATTTGATGACCATATTATTTTACTTTCTTTCCTTTACTTTTATATTGCTTCAAAGGGCCATATTTGCTCCAAAGAGTCTTATTGTGCCTAGGCACCAATTGATACTCCACATCAACATGCACAAACTTTGTATTTCAATATCATAACATAAAATAACAATATCAATCATCCATATGATGCATTTGATTAAGCAAGTAAGTGAACAAACTTTAACATATGAAGAGTTATCTATTTAGCATGAAAAGTACTAATTGAATTTTTATATACAAATTTTCTATCTAAAATGTCAATTATAATGTGACATACAAGCATTTGATTAAATATGAAAATTTGCAAAGTACTATGTAACTTTTATGTAAAAGCTTTGTATCTAACATGCCAATATAAACATAATAAAATGACATAAGGTAATATAAATCTAAGAAAAAGAAAACATGGATTCTAAAATGTAATGTCACATACCTTAGGCTCTTTTCGCCAAACTCCTTCGCACAATTCCTTGAATCGACCTCATCTTAGGTTCAACCTAAAGAACACAATTATTAACAGTAATTATACATGCCAATCGTCTTAATTTAAAATTCTTATTAATAGCTCATTCTCTAAATTCCCCTTTTCAAGACCTATGGAAAAAATGATTATTAGTCCGCAAGGTTTATAACTCTTACTCTATAGTTGAATATTATTAAGCTCCTAATCATAATTAAATGTCATGTATGTTACAACATATAACATAAGTCATAAATCCAATGTAGACTTTACCTAACATAGATCCTAATTAAAATTAATTATTAATCAATCCTCATTGTTAATCACTTTATTATTAACCCCATAATCTAATGTATTTTATCACATCCCTTCTTTAATTAAGATAAATTTAAATGCTAATTTCGGATTAATAAATATAAAAATTAGGGGAAAATAAGATTTTGTGAAAAATGCCCAAATTTCACCATTAGAGCCCTCCTAATATTATCTGGAAATATTTTAGGTAAGCATGCATCAACAATTTTGAAATTGGTGAAAAAAAAAACCTAAGATTTGAACCTAAAATTCTTTGAAGAAATCTTGACATCCTAATATTAATCATTTTAAGCATAAATTATAGTTAAATGACTTATTATTTCTAAATTATTTTTAAAATTATACTTATTTAATTTTTATACTCTATTTTTAAAATATAAAACTATAATATTGTGTTCAACTCGTGTCCGTGTCCTATATTTTCAATAATTGACGTGTCTTGTGTCTGTGTCGTGTCGTGTCCGTGTTGCCGTGTCGGTTTCTGTGCATCATAGATCATCATTAACATTCACTTTATCCTTTCTATTTGGTGTTAACTCACTGCCGAATCACATGATTAATCTACTTTCCCTCTAGTATATAATACAATCAGGGTATATGAGGTTGAATTAAAAACCTTATTATGTAAACTCATCTCACTTCATCATCTTAACTAAAGAGAGCAATCCATGGCAAAACAGCTGGTTCTCGTTATGTCTCTTCTCCAATTTGAGACTATTTCAGCATCTTCATGGTTCCTTGAAATAAAACTAGTTTTGTTACTTGTTTGCTTTTCACTTTTATGTTCTTTCTCTCTCCAATATATACTTAAAAGCTTGAAAATTAATGGCATTTGACCAAGATAATCTCTTGGGCTTCACAATGGTAGTTATGTTTATTTTGTTTGTTGTTTGAGGCTTTATCTCCGACTTCCTTGATTTTAACTTGTTTTCTCTGCTGTTAATTTGATTAGATTTGTTCACTTTGAGCTTGGTGGATATGGGTGGAACTGATTTTGAAGATGTTATGAAGGCAAGTCTTGATATGAAAGGGTTGCATCTTGCTCAGCAAAGTGAAAGCCAGGTTGAACTTTTGTAGCTCAAATACTTAGAACTTCATCAAAAGTTATATTTGGAAGGCAGATTTTTTCATGAGATTTTTTTTGGTATTTGCTACTTTTTTAATGACATTGTGCGTATGAGATCTTACTGAGATATGATTGAATGGTTGTCCCTTGCAAGAACAGTCCTGTTAATGAAGCTGTACCTCTTATGTTGATTATTCCTTTTTAAGCATTTCTGGAATATTTTACATGAATGCTGTTGAAGCTTTTGTTCTTTGCTTGTCTGGTTCAAGTTAAGGAAATGGCATTTTTGAAGGACTCTTGTTATTACAATCATTTGTAAGTGCACTACTACATTGGATTAAAAACTTAATATGGTCTCATATAAGGCTCATTTATTTCATTTCTTTCATATAATTGAGCAAGTTTGAACAAAAATAGAAGCTCAATTTACTAGTTTATTTGCTTACATGAACATGTTTGTTTACCATTTAACAAATATTTTGCAAAAGCCTGATAAAATTATCATATAATGATAGTTTTGTTGTTTATATAATAACTTATACTGTGTTATTGTATCACTTTCTTCCATCTCATGCACTTCAAAAATGATATGTTAATTGTGTATAAGAGAAGTTCAGGTTAAGCTAATAATTTTTTAGTAATATTGGTATTTCAAAGAGATAGTAGAAATACTACTAATGGATTATTTAAATTTAGATGACTGTCTTTGTATGCATATGTTTAAATCATTAGAAACTTAAATTTAATTTGTTTAACTTTATTAAAGCTCAATTATGGTGCAAACTTGAAAATAAAATAAATAAATATGCTTGAATATGATTTTAAATCTTAGGTCATATTCAAGTTTGAGTTAAACTTGATAAGAAAATATATGAATAATGTAATACTCGGCTTGACTCGTTCATTTACATCCCGTTGTTTATTTTCTCACATGATTAATATTGTAAATTCTAAATTAATTGTTTTAGGTGCAGAACTTCAAAGCCCCATTTATTGGTACAGCTTTATGCATTGGTCTCTAGGAAGAATGTATGGGGTATTCATTTCAGGAATTAATTGCTTCTCTTCGGCAGCATAATTGAGATTGCTTTCAATTTAGACCGCTGAAGCTTTTAATTTGTATTCCTCCGGTTTTAAGCAACTTAAGCTTAAAAATGGTGTTTGAGCTGTTCAGTTGTATTGATAAAGTTCTCAAATAAAATATTAATCTAGTTTACTTAACTCTGTTTTCCCTCAAATTCTTTACTTTCTTCCATTACGTGATATGCTGTGTTTTGTATGTAAATTCTGTAGGATATTGTGAATATGGCTTGTTCAGTGGAAGAAAATAGTGATAAGAAGCCTTTATGTTGCCCTGATAAGGGCAAGAATTCTAACTCTCATCTGCAAGAGGATGAAGAGGTGCTAGCAGACCATTCAACTGTTGATGAAGTGCCAGGTTGCATATCCTTGCTCACAGTTTAAATGATGTTTTTCTATTGCTTAGTTATACTTAAATACTATACCATGGCATGCCAAACCAAGTTATATGTGACATGCCCTCTTTTTAAATGCGCGTTACGAGTAAATCAAGTCCAAAATTAGAGCAACGGTGTAACAACAATGCGCCTTCACTTTTGAGTATATGATATTTGATCTACTTCTGTGACAATGACAAAGATTATTTTGGTTGGTTGTTTGGTTGATTGAGCATGGACTTGAACAATTATCCTTTTGAAGTTGCTATTGGCAGGTTAGGGTAGCAATCTTATAGGTTATTTATGCAGAGATGGGACAAGAAAAGGGGGTCACTGGATGATGAAAATGATAGGGATGATGAATCATTCAAATATATTTAATAACATATATTTCTTCTTTGAAACTAATGTGGATGATTAAGCTGATGGAATGAAGTTAAGCAAGTTCAGGCTTTTTGGTTATTAGTTATCATTCCCACGTAATTCTACAGACTCTTTAATATGCAGTTAAGCTTGACTATATATAATCTACTTGTAATATAATATAATGAATATTGTTTTAGCGTAACTTAGGTTAGATGCACTCATGACACAACTGATGCATGTAAATTTCATTTTTAATGTTTTATTTTGAACTATTTTGTAATTTGAATTTTATGTTTTTATGTATTTTTCTACCTTATGATGTAAGGCAACCAATGATCATGTGTATGTTGTGCTCTTTGACATGTCTTGCCTTTGGTGTGCTAGCTTCTTTGGTGCCATGGCTTGTGGGCTGATTTGAATTTGACCCAAGCTTCTTAGGTTGGGTTGTTTCAGGTTCTTGCTGCCTAGTTGGTGAGCTGCTGTGTTCTGCTACCTTTTTCAGCTCATTATTGTGAGCTGTTGTGTTATGCTGCCTTTTTTAGCTCATTATGAATGCTGTATGGGTTCATTCCCTCTGTTTTGACCTTTCAGTTCCTCTGTCTGCCCTGTTCCCTCCCCCTGGCGCTGACTGTTCATTGGCTGTGTCCTGCTAGCCTTTCGGGCATGATTTAAAATTGCGCAATATGAGGCTCGCCTTTGCGCAATTCCAGTAAAAAACGCCTCGATGCTTACGCCTCAAGTTTTTTTTATGAGGCTTGCGCCTAAACTTGGTTGAGGCCCGCCTCGCCTCACTGGCATGAGGCTTACGCCTCATGCTATATATATATTAAAACTTACATAAATCTTGAAGTAATGCCCGACATTGGACTCTATAGGAGAGAAAGGGGAGAGAGAAGTTCATCATAATGATGATTCAAATAAAGAACCCCTTAGTGATGACAGTGCTGGTGACTTATGAGTTCTTATGTGATATGTCATTGCTATTTATTTTTGGAAATTTGAATTATATGTTAATGAAAAGAATACTGGGATTTGGGAAATATAGAATTTTGAGTTAAACTATATTTCATGTTGTCTTATTATTGGGTTATTTTGATTTCACTTAATATCATATGCTTTTTTATGTTTTATATTATTCACTCATTAATATATAAAAAATTTATCATTTTATGTTTACGCAATCTTTTAATTTTGAGGCTTACGCCTCAAAACGCCTCGAGGCTTACGCCTCGCCTCATGAAAGAAAAACACCTCAATACTCGAATACGCAATTTTAAACATTGACTGCTCCATTCGTCTGCCTATTGGCCTTCTACCTCCCCTTTGCTGATTGGATAGTATAGGCGGCTGTTTGGGCTGTTTGGCTCCCTCTCCTCTCCTATATAGAGTGACTGATTTGTGACATTTGGGAGCTGATTTTGGTGAGTGAAAACTACTTAAGCCTGAGAGTTTTCTTCTTGGATAGCTTGCGAGCTTTATCCCCTTTCTCTTCCCCTCTCTTTGACTTCGTCTCGGGCTTCTTACCTACTTCTCTCCGCAAGTTTACACCCCACTTGTATCTTTCTTCTTAAGCTTTTGAAGGTGTTGGTTGGCCGGTCTAGTAGCATTTACCGAAGGAGTTTTATGGTGGACGTTGGCCCAAAGTTGCTGTGATGGACCTTTGGTTTGCATGTCTTTAAGCACTTATTATATTACCTACTATTTCGATACATGTGAGGTGACCTCTCGCTGGTTGTTCTGAGGGTAGTTTTTTTTTTTATTTTAGTTAGTTTATTATCTAACTTTTGTTTATTTCAATTTGTTTTTTGGTGTTTGCCAACTTTAATATGAATTGAGAAAGTTTTATTAGACATTGTGTTCTCCATCTTGGTTTTTCTATCTAGTTGTCTTCATCAAGTTTGGTATTAGAGCCTAGGTTAGCATATCCTAGGTTGGTGTGTGAGTTTTTTCTTGAAACAAAATGGCTAATCAAAACAACCAAGGGGATTGACAATAAATGATGCAACAATTGACTGACTTAAAACATCAAATAAACAATATTGACTAACACCCTTACAAATTTGAATGTTAACAATGTTAATGCTCGAAATTCTGAAAGTGAAGAAGAAATTCATAGGAATCAAAATAGACATTATAGGAATTAGGATCGTGGAATAAAAATTGACATTCATAACTTTGAAGGTAAGCTACAACCTGATCAATTCATCGATTGTATAGAAAAGATGTACCAAATTTTCGAATGGAAAGAAATCCCTGATAATAGAAAAGTTAAATTTCCTAGCTTAATTCTCACAGGTCACACTTTAATTTAGTGAAAAAATCTCCAAAATAATAAGCTAAAACAAGGGAAGAATAAAATTCAAACATGGTATAGGATGAAAGAAAAGACGCGGGGAAAGTTTTTACCCTCTGATCACTCACGAATTTTATTCTAAGAATTTAATAATCTTCCGCAAGGAAACCAAACAGTTGAGAAATACATTGAAACATTTTATAAACTTCAATCTCAAAACGATTAGATGAATCCGAAGAACGAGATCTCACTAGATACATTAATGGGTTATTCAAGATCAACTAAGCCTACATCACGTAATCAAACTTGATGAAGCTTATCGAATGACTTTAAAAATTGAAAAGCAACAAAGAAATAATAACAAGGCATCTGAAATGATTAAGCGTCGACCAACTGGGGAGATTAAAATCCAATCTGCACAATTTTCTAATGTGCGAACAAAAACTTTTGAAATTCAAATCTTAGAGAAAGGAGAGGGATTGATGGGACCTAACTGTGATTGAATCACTCCAGCTTATTGGACCATGTTACTAATGCGGGTTATACAGACATCTTTTAGCTGCTTGTAGAAAAAACAATCCTCCTAGGACTAATTACATTTAGAATGATGAGGAGTTAGAGGGGGAAGAAGAAAATGAAACTGAACCCGAAATTGAAAATGAGATAGAAAGAGTTGACGTAGAAGGCGACCAAGTTGACAAATTCTTAGTAATCCGACGAGTCCTAATTACTAAAATTGAAAATGGAGATTAATGACTTAGGAGGAACATCTTTGGAACCATTTGCACTGGTGAAGGAAAATTCTGCACTTTTATGATTGATAGTGGAAGTTTCGATAATTTTGTCTCACAACTGATGTTATATAAACTTAATCTGAAATCAAAACCACTTGCTAAACCCTACAAAATCTCTTGGTTTAAAGAAGAATGTGAGGTTTCTATTACGAAGCAATGCACTGTTAACCTGTCAATTGGAAGTTCTTATAAAGATCAACTTGTTTGTGACATCATCCCTCTTGAAGTCTGTCATATTTTATTGGGTTGTCCCTGACAATTTGATTATAAAACAATTCACAATGGGGAAAAGAACACATACACTCTAACTCAAAATAATAAGGAATTCACTATGTACCTTCAAAAGAACATTCCTGACCCACCTGCCAAGAATACCAAAACAACAAAAGTAAACACTCCCGAATTACTTCTTAACACAAATGAGCTAAAACATCTAAGATAGCATATCTAGTGTTAGGAAAAGAGTCTGAATAAACCATTCAAATTTTCATAAATATACAACCATTAATTGATGAGTTTTCTAACATAACTCCTGAAGAATTACTAAAAGTTTTGCCCTCAATCAGAGATATCCAACACCACATTGACTTAATCCCTGGAGCAACATTACCCAATCTTCCTCATTACCGAATGAGTCTTACTGAACATGAGGAACTACATAAGCAAGCGACCGAACTTTTAGATAAGGGTTTAATCAAAGAAAGCTTGAGTCCATGTGTTGTACCTGCTTTGCTTACACCTAAAAAGGATGGAATATGGATGATGTGTGTGGATAGTCGTGCCATAAATAAAATAACCATTAAATATAGGTTTCTAAACCTAGGCTCGATAATATGTTGGATATGCTTAGTGGTGCGAAAATCTTTTCTAAAATAATTTGCGAACTGAGTATCATCAAATTAGGATTAGGCCTGGTGATGAGTAGAAAATAGTATTCAAAATAAAGGAATGTCTGTATGAATGACTAATCATGTCTTTTGGGTTATCTAATACTCCTAGTACATTTATGAGCACGATGAATCATGTCTTAAGTCCTTTCATAGAAAAATTTGTGTTTGTGTATTTTGACGATATCCTGATTTACAGCACTCATTCTACTGAATATCTGAAACATTTTAGACAAGTCATGCAAACTTTAAAAAAGAAAACTATATATGAATATGAAGAAATGTTCTTTCATGACTCCAAGTTTGACCTTTTTAGGATATATTGTGAGCTGCTGTGTTTTGCTGCCTTTTTCAGCTTATTATGAAAGCTGTCCAAGTTCATTCCCCCCTCTGTTTTGGCCTTAAAGTTCCTTTGCTTGCCAAGTTCCTTCCCCCTAGCGCTGGTTTTTCGTTGACCGTGTCCTGCTGGCCTTTTGGGTACTGCTCCATTCGGCTGCCAAACAACTAGATTGAAAAACCAAGATGGAGAACATAATGGCTAATAGAACTTTCTCAATTCAAATTAAAGTAGGTAAAAACCAAAAACCAAATTGAAACAAACAAAAGTTAGATAATAAGCAAACTAAAATAAATCTTTGAAG